TGACAAACAGCAGGTATCATGCATGCTCATTCCGTACGCTCTCACGCATCACATTCACACATACTACACATTCACACACATATGTGCACAAATACGTATACACATACAGTCTCGTACACTCCCACCATCCCCCTGGGGGGGGGGAGCGGGGGGGGCAGGCCCTCCCTCCCAGCCCAGCCTGATGCCCCCTCCCCTCCCCCGGCTCCCGCCAGGACGCAGAGCACAACCATGACCTGGAGAGCGCCCTCCTCCGCCTGGAGGAGGAGCAGCAGAGGTGAGGGCTTGGCGCCGAGGGCCCGGGGCTGGCAGATTGCCCCCCACCCCGGGCGCAGGCCCACCGGCCCCTTCCCTCCACCAGGAGCGCCAGCCTGGCACAGGTGAACGCCATGCTCCGAGAGCAGCTGGAGCAGGCGGGCTCGGTCAACCAGACTCTGAGCGAGGACTTACGCAAGGTGACCGGCGACTGGACACGCAGCCGCCAGGAGCTGGAGCAGCGGGAGGCGGCGTGGAGGCGCGAGGAGGAGGTGGGCGCGGTGCTGGGACGCCAGCCTGAGCCGGGGGAGGGCCCTTTGTGGGGGTGAGGACCCAGGGGCTGCTGAGGAGGGGAGCATCACAGCGGAGGTGCGAGTCCTGAGCGTCCCTGGCCTGGGTTACACGTTCCCTGCACGTGCCAGGCGCTGTCTTTGTGCTCATTAGAGACAGGTTAAGTGACTTGCCCACGGCCATGCAGGATGTGGGTGCAGGTGGCCGGTACCTCCTGCAGCCCAGCTGGGAGAGGCATCGAATCCCAGGCCCCCGTGCAAGAGGGAGCTGGGGAGGCCTGGGGGCAGGAGCATGGCCGCTCCTGCACAGGCTCCTAGCAGGCCCGGGTGGTGGGTGGCCGGGCAGCCGTGGTGGGGGGCCGGGGCCGGGGCCGGGGGGAAGGCAGCAGAGGCGCCTCGCGCAGCCCCCACTGTGGCCCCTCTCCCTTGCAGTCCTTCAACGCCTACTGCAGCAGCGAGCACAGCCGCCTGCTCGTGCTCTGGAGACAGGTGGTGGGCGTCCGGCGGCTGGTCAGCGAGGTGAAGATGGGCACTGAGAGGTGAGGCCCGGCTGGCCGAGGGGCCGCCGGGGGTGGGGGGCGGCTGGGAGCCCGCCCTGCTCTCTGTGTGCCGTGCCTCGCACGGGTGGAGACACAGCTGTGCTGATGAGCTGCTACCGGGTGTCTTCTGAGCGGGGCGCCCCGCACCTCGTGTCATCCCGCATTCACAGTGTCCCTCGCCAGCGCCGCGGCTCACTAGGCTAATCCTCCGCCTTGCGGCGCCGGCACACCGGGTTCTAGTCCCGGTCGGGGCACCGGATTCTGTCCCGGTTGCCCCTCTTCCAGGCCAGCTGTCTGCTGTGGCCAGGGAGTGCAGTGGAGGATGGCCCAGGTGCTTGGGCCCTGCACCCCATGGGAGACCAGGAAAAGCACCTGGCTCCTGCCATCGGATCAGCGCAGTGCACCGGCCGAAGCGCTCCGGCCGCGGCAGCCATTGGAGGGTGAACCAACGGCAAAGGAAGACCTCTCTCTCTGTCTCTCTCTCTCACTGTCCACTCTACCTAAAAAAATTAACAGTGTCCCTGTGAGCCAGCGACGGCCACAGCCCATTTTCTAGCTGCAGACACTGAGGCTCAGGCTGAGTGATCTTCGCAAGGTCACACCGCACCAAGCCGCCGTCGGGATTTGAAGCTTGTGGCTTTTTTTTTTTTTTTAACTCAAGGATTTATTATTTGAAAGAGAGAGGGAGAGACAGAGATTTTTCTATCACTGGTTCGCTGTCTAGATGACTGCAATGGCCACGACTGAGCCAGGCCGGAGCCAGGAGCCAGGAGCTTCATCCGGGTCTCCCACGAGGGTGGCAGGAACCCAAGTGCTTGGACGTCTTCTGCTGCTTCCCAGACGCAATGCAGGAGGCTGGATCGGAAGCACGGAGTAGCTGGGGCGCAGAGCCGCACCTGTACTGGAATGCAGATGTCCGGGAGCAGCTCAGCCCACTGCACCCCCGCGCCGGCCGCAGCCCCTGCCTTTAATTCACTAGGGCTTTCAGCTTTGCTACAGGGCCCTTGCAATAGCTAGAGATGAAAAGACCCTCAGAATCCTGGCTGGGGCAGTGAGCTGGCAGAGGGAATGTCCCGGACAGGTCAGAGCGAAGCGGAAGCTTCGAGGAGGGCAGGAGACAGCACTGGCCCAGAGCCTCAGGGGCTGGGTGGTGGGAAGCCAGCAGGGCTGGGGGCAGTGCAGGGAGGGGCACAGCACGGCCAAGGCTGGGAGGGGCTGCCAGTGGGGGGGAGCGGTGAAGAGCAGATGAGGGGGGGAGGTCCCGCCTCCGCTCGGACAGTCACCGCAGGTGAGGGGAACCCAGAGGCCAGAGACCAGGTGTCTCCTTGCTAACGAGTTTTGTTCGGGGCCATGGTTAGGCCTCTGCTCGGGATGCCTGCATCTCATGGGAGCGCTCCTGACGGCAGCCTCCTGTCAGAGTGCACCCTGGGAGGCGGCCTGTGCTGGCGCAAGGCCTTGGTCCTGCCCCCGTGGGAGAGGCCCACGGGGAGTTCCTGGCTCCTAGCTTCTGCCTGGCCCCAGCACAGCTGTGCACACATCTGGGGAATGAACCAGAGGAGGGGAGCTCTTTCTGTCTCTGTTCTCTGCCTTTCAAAAGAAATAGATTAAAAATAACACTAAACAGAGGAAAAGATTCTTTAAAAAATGTGTAATTGGTCATCTTTTGGTAATACAATGTGCAGATTCCTGACCCTCGTCACGGACGGTCAGCTGCACTTTCTGTCTGTAATCTGTGTGAATCAGGAGCCACAGAACATTTACAAAATGTAATTTTTTTGTTTTGTCTTTTTAGTCTCTTTGAGCTCATTTGTTCAGGAAAGCCAGCCAGTTGTCCTTAGAGCGTCCCATAAGGTGGCTTTTGCTGGTTGTATCCCTGGGGTGTCGTTTAACACGTGCCCCGTGCCCCGCACTTCCTGTGAGCTCCGTGGTGGCACTCAGCTGGGCAAGGTCGGGCTCCTGTTGTCCAGGTCAGGGCTGCCCGGGGCTTGGCTGTTTCCTTCTGCTGATGCTGGCAACTCTTTTTTAAAAAATTTATTTATTTCTCTGAAGGGCAGAGTTACAGAGAGAGAGAGGGAGAAATAGAGAGAAAGAGAGACCTCTCCACTGGTTCACTCCCTAACATGTCTACAACGGCAGAGGCTGGGCCAATCCAAAGCCAGGAGCCAGGACCTTCCTCTGGGTCACCCACATGGATGCAGGGGCCCAAGGACTTGGCCGTGTTCTGCTGCTTTCCCAGGGGCATTAGCAGGGAGCTGGATCAGAAGTGGAGCAGCCGGGACTCAAACTGGTGCCCATATGGGGTGCCAGTGTCATAGGCAGCAGCTTAACCCGCTGTGCCACAGGGCTGGCCCAGTGTTGGCAACTCCTGCTGCCCAGTGCCAAGATCCAAACAGTCCTCAGAGACTGCAAAATGGAGGTGTTCCTCTGTCACCGCTCTGTGCATTGATAAGGCATTCTGGAGTGAGCCTCTTCCGGACTGTGGGGTCCCGTGGGACGGATCGTTCACGAGAAGGGAGGATTTACCCTGCATCACGGCTTTGAAAGGCCTTTGCTTTTCAATTCGCATTTAAAATATTTAAAAAAAATTTTAAATATTTGCATTTAAATTTAAAATATTTAAAATAAATAAAATATTTACTCTGAAGAAGTCCCAGCCGCACAAGGTGCACATTTCAGAAGGGTGTGCAGTGAGGCCTCCCTCCTCTCTCTGGCCCCAGACACTGCCCTCACTTCTGGAGGCAAGAGCATTCCTGGTGTCCTACGTGACCATCTGGGGGCGTTTATACAGGCAAATAAATAAGAGCACACGCACACGCACTCACGCAGAGTCATACACGCACAGTCATACACATACACACACAGACACACTCACATGCAGTCATACATACAAAAAAACAGACACACATACTCTCACGTACACACACATGCAGAGTCATACACACAGACACATACTCATACACACACGTGCACACAGTCGTACACACTCTCACATAAACACGTGCAGAGTCACACATACACACAGACTCACACATACTCTCACAAACACACACACAGGGTCATACACACTCATACACACACAGTCACACTCACATACTCACACATACAGAGTCATACAGACTCACATACACACACAGACTCACACACACATACACACTCTCACATACACACACATGCAGAGTCACACATACACACAGACTCACACATACTCTCAAACACACACACACAGGGTCATGCACACTCATATACACACAGTCACACTCACAGACTCACACCCACATGGGCTCACACACTCTCATAGACACACAGACACAGTCACACTCACACACCTTTTTGGTATGCTGTCAGCCCTGTGTCTGTGGCATCAACCAGCTGCAGATTAGAAACGCTGTGGCCTGGGGCAGGTGTTCCTGGGGCAGAGATGCCTGCGTCCCACGTCTGAGTGCCTGGGCCCGGCCTCTGAGTCGCTCCTGGTGGCAGCTTCCTGCCGATGTAGAGCCGGGTACTCCTGCTGCCTCTGCGGGAGACCTGGACCGCAGCTCTGCTCCAAACATCCAGCCTGTGCCCAGCCCAGCCCTGGCTGTCGCTGGCTCTTGCTGGAGTGAATCGGCAGATAGGCGCTCTCTTTCTCTGCCTGTGTCTCAAATAAATACATTTGAAGAAAAGTGTCTGAATGTGTATATTTTCCTGTTACTATTCCCTACAATACAACATAACAATATTGTCATAGCAATGTCATTGCATTAGGTTTTAGAATTAATCTATAGGGGCCGGCGCTGTGGCACAGCGGGTTAACACCCTGGCCTGAAGCCCCAGCATCCCATATAGGTACCGGTTCAAGACCCGGCTGCTCCACTTCCAATCCAGTTCTCTGCTATAGTCTGGAAAAGCAGTAGAGGATAGCCTAAGTCCTTGGGCCCCTCTGCCCGTGTGGGAGACCCGGAGGAAGCTCCTGGCTCCTGGCTCCGGGCTTCGGATCGGTGCAGCTCTGGCCGGTGCAGCCAACCGGGGAGTGAACCAGTGGATAGAAGACCTCTCTCTCTCTCTCTCTCTCTCTCTCTTTCTCTCTCTGCCTCTCCTCTCTGTGTAACTCTGATTTTCAAATAAATAAATAAATAAATATTTTTTTTTAAAAAGAATTAATCTATAGCTGATGTAACATACAGTCATATACCAGGCCGACACCATTTTATAGAAGGGATTTTTGTATCCGTGAGGGGTCTTGGCACCAATCCCCTGCAAATCCCAAGGAACAACTCTATACTCCTAGAAGAATTTCATCTTTGAAGTTCTTCAAAACGCATTCTTATTTTTTTAATATCTATGTATTTGTTTATTTGAAAGGCAGACAGGGCCGGCATTGTGGCACAGCAGGTAAAGCCGCTGCCTGTGATGCCAACATCCCACTTATGGGCACTGATTTATGTCCTGGCTGCTCCACTTCTAATCCAGCTCCTTGCTAATGTGCCTGGGGAATGCAACAGGAGGTGGCCCAAGAGCCTGGCTCCCTGCCATCCACGTGGGAGACCTGGATGAAGCTCTTGGCTCTGGCTTTGGTCTGGTCCAGCCCTGGGCTGTTGCAGCCAACCAACAAGAAGAAAGTTTTCTCTCTCTCACTCAAATAAATACATAAATCTTAAAAAAGAAAAAAAAGGCAGAGTGACAGGAAGAGAAAGCGCATTTGATCTCTCATCCGCTGGCTCACTCCCCAGTTGCCCTCAACAGCCAGGACTGGGCCAGGGGCCAGGAATCCATCTGGTCTCCCATACGGGTGGCAGGGACCCACGTACTCAAGCCACCCGCTGCCTCCCAGGACACCGGCAGGGTGCTGGGTCAGAAACAGAGTAGCTGGGACTCAGTCCAGCACTCGGTCGCGGGATGTGGACTAGGCGAGCTGTGGCTCAGCCGCTGCAGCAGGAAGACGGATTCTTCCTGTCCCAGCTGTGCTGGGCGCAGGCTCCAGGTGAGGCGGGACGCGCGTCCCCGTCGGCTTTTCTCGGCCGAATCACCCGAAGTGATTTACCAGCATGCCTCTGGTGGACGCTGGGCCAGCGCTTTGACCAGTGCAGGAAGTCACCTGTGCCCAGGTCATTCCCCGGGGCTGCTGTACTGCAGGACACACCCGTGGAGGTGGTGGCGGAGAGGCTCCTGCCCTGCCTAGGTGGCTGTGCCTGCTGCCCTGGCTGCTGGCCCTGCTGCCCCATAGCCCACCACGCTGTGCGTTGTCTGACAGTGACAAATGGCCTCCCAGCATGCTCTCAATTTGCACTTGGTCGCCACCCCCATTCCGTCCCCATGCTGTGCTCTCTCCCCTAGGGACCTGCTGCAGCTGGGAGGGGAGCTGGCCCGGACATCGCGGGCCATCCAGGAGGCGGGCCTGGGGCTGAGCGCCGGCCTGCGGCTGGCGGAGGACCAGGTCGAGGCAGCCCTGGAGAAGCAGCGGCTGCTGGAGGCCCAGCTGCAGGACAAGGTGCGGCGGGAGAAGGACCTGGCCCAGCTGCAGGTGCAGAGCGACCTCGACAAGGCTGACCTCAGTGCCAGGTGCGTGGCGGTGGGCGCCGTCTGAGGCTTCCCCAGACTGTGTGGGGTGCTCGCTGCCCGGCACCTGTTTGAGGCTCCGAGGCCTCTTACCCAGGGCACGGCAGGGGCAGTTTAGCTTCTGAAGACAGAACATTTGCCCTGCCTCCTACCTCCTGGGCAAGTCCACAGATAATGCCCGTGGTGAGCTCGTTCCCACTTTACAGATGAGAAGCCTGAGGCCCAGAGGGACGTGCCCTGCTAGGGTGGGGGATGCTGGGGCCCCTGCTCAGGTCTGGGGAGACGCGAATGACACAGGAGCTGGTGGGCTTGAGAAGCTGGGGTGTGGTGGGGGGTCCCACCCTCTCACCCTCTGCTGCTGCCCCATGTCCAGAGTGGCAGAGCTGGCCCGGGCAGTGGACCACCTTCGGAGCCAGGGCGTGGAGAAGGACCAGGTCAACAAGGCCCTCACCGAGAGGCTGGAGGCCCTGGTGAGATGCAGGACCCCGGGACGTGGCAGGGCAGGGGCAGGGCGGGAGACGGGCCACAGGCATGGCCACAGGCTCAGGCCTCCGAGCACCCCACTTGGGCTCAGGGTCGCCCTTCTGAGTGTGCTCCCAGCTCAGTGGCAAGCACACTCACCCCTGCCCACCTGCCAGCGGCCCCGCGGTGTGACCCCCATTGCACAGGTGAGAAGATCAAGGCCAAGAGGGACAGTGCATGTGCAGAATCTCAGAGCCAAGGGCAAGGGAGACAGGACTGGATTCCTGCCTGGTCCCTGGAGGATCTCAGCTGTCACCCCTGAGCGTACCGCCTGCCTTGGTCATCGTCCTGGGTGGGGCCGGCCCCGGGTTCCGGGTCCAGCTGTCTTCCAACAGCCTGTGCGGTAGTGAGGCTGCGGGGGCCTAGCAGGGGCTGGCCTGAGAGCAGCCCCGGAGGCCACCTGGTGGTGGCGCAGGAGAGGAAGGTCCGATTCCAGCCTTAGTCTACCTAACCTCTCCCCAGGAATCCCTGCGCCTACAGGAGCAGGCGGCCCTCGACACCGAGGACGGAGAGGGGCTGCAGCAGACCCTGAGGGACCTGGCACAGGTGCGTGGTGGGAGAGAGCCCAGAGAGGCAGGTCGGGTGAGGTGGGGACCCTGGGCAGGCACGGCCAGGCGGTTCTGGGCCGCCCGCCGCGCCCTCTACTGGCCTTGCACTGAATTGCAAGAGGGTAGGGGGCCTGAGGACCCCAGGCCGCTGTTCCGCACCCCTGCTAGCTCAGTGGCCTCTGCCCCAGGGGACCCCAGGCTGCGAAGGAAGGCACAGCACTTTCCGGGGCCACGTGTGAGAAATTCTGGCCTTTGTCTTCGCAATAAATGGGAGGCCTTACCTGGCGGGCTGGGGGCTGTGCATTGCTGGAGGTGGAATCAGGAAGACTTCCTGTAGGAAGGGACATTGGGAGGAAGCCTCCTTGGGCTCAGCTAACTCAGGCTGCCCCTCCTGCCTCTCCACCCCACCCCAGGCGGTCCTGTCGGACGCGGACAGTGGCGTCCAGCTAAGCGGCTCCGAGCGCACTACGGACGCGTCGGATGGCAGCCTGAGGGGGCTCTCAGGCCCGCGCACCCCGTCCCCGCCGCGGCGCTCCTCGCCTGCCCGCGGCCGTTCCCCGCGTCGAGGCCCGTCCCCGGCCTGCTCCGACTCCTCCACGCTCGCGCTGATCCACTCGGCCCTGCACAAGCGCCAGCTGCAGGTCCAGGTGGGGCGGGCACAGCCAGGGCCTGGGGCGGGGCCACGGTCCTGGGGGCGGGGCCACGGGCCGGGAGGCGGAGCCTGAGGCAGAGCCGTGAGGACTCTGAGGCCAGAGTGGGAGGTGCTTAGGCGGCTGGGGGTGGGGCCCGAGGAGGGGCGGGGTCCGGGGAGGGACCAGGATGTGGCGGGGCGGAGCCTGGGAGCCGGTTGGTGGGTTCGAGTTAGGCGGGAGGAAGGCTGTGCGGGCGGGTGCGTGGCCTCCCGGCAGGGCGGCGAGGGCGCGGGGGCCGGCGTGGGGAGCTGGGAGAGCGGGGGCCACCCCCGACTCGAGGCCCCCATGCCTCAGGACATGCGCGGGCGCTACGAGGCGAGCCAGGACCTCCTGGGCGCCGTGCGCCAGCAGCTCAGCGACTGCGAGGGGGAGCGCCGCGCCCTGGAGGAGCAGCTGCGGCGCCTGCGGGAGGAGGCTGCGGGCGCCGCCCAGGCGCGGGAGGACGCCCAGCGCGAGGCGCAGCGGCTGCGGAGCGCCGGCGACCTCCTGAGCAGGTGCGGGGCCGGCCGGGCGGGCGGGCCTGGGCGCGCTCCGCACCATCCGCGGCAGGGTGAGGGGCGCTGGGTGACGCCGCCCCACGCAGGGACCCTCAGGTGTCTGGGTCGCGCTGGCCACGGGCCTACACGGCTCTGGAACATTCCTGGCGCCTCGGAGAGTTCTGGGCCGAGACCCTGCCACACTGTCCGCGCTGTGTTTAAGGAGTCCTTCTTTATCAGAAAGGCGGAGCTGCGGAGAGAGCGACGTGCGCCTCCCTCCCCCTTCACTCCAGGGGCCGGGCCAGGCCGCCGCGGGAGCCATCCCCGTGCCCCCTCCAGGGCAGGCTCCCCAGCGCTTGGGCCGCTCTCTGCGGCTCCCCGGGTGCGTTAGCAGGGAGCCGGATCAGAAGCCGAGCAGCCAGGGTTCGAATCTGCGCTCCCATATGGTGGTGGTGCAAGTGGTGGCGTAACCCACTGCGCCGTAACACCAGCCCCTGGAGAGGCAGAGAGAGAGAGTGAGCGAGTGCCCGTTCACTGAGTCATTCACCAAATGCCCACAACAGCCCTGGCTGAATCTGGAAGCTGGGACCTCCATCCAGGGCCCCCACACGGAGGGCAGGAACCCAGCCACGTGAGCCGTCGCCACAGTCTGCGTTAGCAGGAAGCCAGAGTCAGGAGTGAGAGCAGGCATCAGGCCCAGGCGTTCTCCCATGGGACACAGGCATCCAACGGGCATCTTTTTTTTTTTTTTTTTTTAAGATGTGTTTATCTGTTTGAGAGTCAAGAGTGACAGACGAAGTCAGGTAGAGACAGAGAGAGAGAGGTCTTCCATCCTCTGGGTCACTCCCCAGATGGCCACAACAGCTGGAGCTAGGCCAATCCGAAGCCAGGAGCTTCTTCTGGATCTCCCACGTTGGTACAGGGGCCTTAGCACTTGTGCCATTTTCCGCTGCTTTCCCGGGCCTTTAACAGGGAGCTGGATTGAAAGTGGAGCAGCCGGGACATGAACCGGTGTCCACATGGGATGCTGGCGCTGCAGGCGGAGGCTTCACCTACTGTGGCACAGCGCCAACCCCTAACTCGTGTCTTAAAGGAGCTAAACAGCTACCTCTCTTGGAGATTTTCACCCCATTGGGGTTTTACCTTTTTTATTTTTTAATATTTATTTGAAAGGCAGAATGACACAGTGGGAGAGATAGAGAGGGTGGTCTTCCATCGCTGGTTCACTCCCCAGATGGCCACAATGGCTGGAGCTGGGCCAGGCTGAAGCCAAGAGCCAGGAGCTTCTTCTGGGTCTCCCACATGGGTAGCAGGGGTAGCAGGGGCCCAAGTCCTTGGGCCATCCTCCACTGCCTTCCCAGGCGCATTAGGGGGCTGGGTCGGAAGCAGAGCAGCCAGGACTCGAACTGATGCCCTGGCACGGGTGCTGGGGTTGCAGGCTGCCGCTTAGCTCGCTGCACACTCCTCAAGTGAGAGAGAGAGAGAGAGAGAGAGAGAGACTGCAAAGGCAGGGGCTGGGCCAGGCCAAAGCTGGGAGCCAGGAGCCAGGAGCTTCTTCCAGGTCTCCCTCATGGGCACAGGGCCCCAAGCACTTTGGGCCATCCTCCACCGCTTTCCCAGGCACATTAGCAGGGAGCTGGATCGGAAAGTGGAGCAGCCGGGACTCGAACCGCGGTCCATATGAGACGCCGGCACTGCAGGCATTGGCTTAACCCGCTGCACCACAGCGCTGGCCCATCTAGTGACAACTGAATCACTGCCCCAAAGGCCTGCCCCTAGAGTGACTTGTTAGGCAGCTGTGTTCACAGTGAATATGCTGTTTTGCATTCTGCCGTTTTTACTTAATACATCCGTGTGTGGAAGTTGTTACTGAGTGACGTGTTGTCGGCTCGGGCAGTGGGAGGGGTGAGGTCTGGGCAGACCCCGCTCTGTTGGGCTTCCCAGAAGTGGGGGCCGTGCAGCGTTGAAGGGGCTTTCCCGAGATGCACGGCCTGGCAGAGTTGGCACCGGAATCACCCTCGTGTCCCGGCCTGGCCTCTTGGGCTTGGTCGGGGGCCTGAACGTGATACCCGCACCTCCCTCCGTTCCACTAGGCCTGCACGAGGGTGCGCTGGGGGGAGGGAAGCCAGAATCCAGCTGCTGGGAGACACGGGGAAGGAGCTGGCCGTGGGCAAGGACAGGGTCGCAGAAGGCTTCCCAGACAGGTGCCTCCCGGGACAGGAGCCGCGGCTCCTGGCCTCCCAGCAGCCCCTCTGCTCCCCCTCTCCGCGTCCCGCAGGGAGAAGGACAGCCTGGCCCACAGCCTGCAGGAGGCCCAGCAGCGGGCCGAGGAGCTCCGGCAGGAGCTGGAGAAGCGGCAGGCGGCCCAGGAGGAGCTGCAGCGCCAGCGGGACCGGCTGGAAGAAGAGCAGGAGGACTCGGTGCAGGCCGGGGCCCGGGCGCGCAGGGAGCTGGAGCGCAGGTGAGCAGCCCAGCCCGGCCTGGCCCTGCCTGCCGGGCCCCCCGCCTGCCAGGACCCCTGCCTGCCGGGCCCCCCGCCTGCCGGGCCCCCTGCCCGCCGGGACCCCCGCCTGCCGGGCCACTGCCTGCCGGGCCCCCTGCCCGCCGGGACCCCCGCCTGCTGGGACCCCTGCCTGCTGGGACCCCTGCCTGCAGGCCCCCTGCCTGCCGGGCCCCACCCTTCAGATGCACTCGGCGGCTCAGCAGCGCCCGCTGTGTCTGTCCCAGTGCCACTCTGTTCCCGGGTCTCCTAAGCAGCCCTGTTTGGGGAAATCGAGAACTGATAGGAGGGAGAGCTTGCGTGGTACTAACAATAATGAACATAAAAGCGGGAATAACAATAGTATCTTAAAAACTTGTAATCATTTTGCAGTAATAATGTTAATACTAAATGCCAGACACCCTGTAGGTGCTTAGACTCGCTCATTTAACCCTCGTGGTAACTGTGATGTAGGGGATCTTGTTTAGTTCTCCATGTTATGGATGGTGAAACTGAGGCACAGAGGGGTCGTGCAGCTTGCCCCAGGTCACTCAGCTGCTTAGAACCAGCACTTGAACTTGCGTCATTCACCCCTCCAAGGCTAGGTGATGAGGTTTTTACTACATTGTAGTAGTGAATTTTTTTTTAAAGATTTACTTAATTATTTGAAAAGCAGAGATAGAGGAGAGAGGGAGGGATCTTGATCCACTGGTTCCTTCCCCAAATGACCGCTATAGCGGGGCTTCTTCCAGGGCTCCCACGTGGGTGCAGGGGCCCAGGCCCTTGGCCCATCTTCCGCTGCTTTCCCACACAGATTAGCAGGGAGCTGGATTGGACGTGGAACAGCTGGAATTCGAACCCATACCGCACTCATATGGAATACCAGCTGATGGAGGCTTAACCTATGTCACAGCGCCTGCCCCAGTAGTGACTATTTGTGTTTCTGAAGGCCCCTGGGGGCGTGTGGCAGGCGCGATTTTAGGCACTTCACGCAGAGAAAGTGCATTGTTAACCCCACTATGCAGATGTGAAAGTGGAGGCCCAGAGTCACAGATAAAAGGCAGCAGGCTGGGCTGCCCTTGTGGGTGAGGCCCTCGCCACCCCCCAGACTCCTGCCTCAGGCCTGGGCCCTGCAGGCTGGGGAGTGACGGGCACGCACCCACCCTGGGTCCCGCAGCCACAAGCAGCTGGAGCAGCTGGAGGTGAAGCGCTCGGGGCTGGCGAAGGAGCTGGTGGAGGTGCGGGAGGCGCTGAGCTGCGCCGCGCTGCAGCGGGACGTGCTGCAGGCTGAGAAGGCCGAGGTGGCCCAGGCGCTGACCAAGGTGGGTCCCACCCTGGCCGCAGACCGACCTCGGGCCCCAGATAGGGACCTTGACCGACGGCGCACCCCTGCTCTTCCGCGTGTCCTGGGGCGGTGCCTGTAGCTCAGGCCCATCCAGTCCCGTCTCGGGACGCAGGTCCTGGGTCGGTGAGCGTCCTTGGTGGGTGCCTGGCCCCGCCCAGCAGCCTGGGCCCTGAGCACTGCCGCCCTCTGCCCCCTGGCCCCCAGGCAGCATGAGCTGGGCTTCCTTCCTCCGCCCGGCTCTGCGGGTGTGGCTTCTTTCACACCTGCTCCTGGTGGGTTTGTCATCTCCTGTGGGTCTGCCCGAGGGCTCACCTCTCCTTGCCTCCTGCCTCTCCCGCCTCTTCCGCCCCGCTGCCTGGCCCTGGCCGCCCCGTAGGCTGAAGCCGGCCGAGTGGAGCTGGAGCTCGCCATGACCAAGCTGAGGGCGGAGGAGGCCTCTCTGCGGGACTCCTTGTCCAAGCTGAGTGCCCTCAACGAGAGCCTCGCGCAAGACAAGCTGGGGCTGAACCGCCTCATTGCCCAGGTACGCACTGTGCCCAGCGGGCTCACCTGCCTGGCCCACCTGTCCGCTCCATCTGGGAGACCCTCTCACCCCCCCCACCCTTGACCTGGTCACTGCCTCCTTCTGTCTCTGTCTCCGCCCTCTCTCCATGGACCCCTGGTCTCCCCACCCCGGGCGGAGCGTCCACATGGGAACCTCCCCTGGGCTGGCTGTGATGGGGGTGGAGGGCCCCTGCTCACTCGGCCCCACTCCCGCCCGGCCCCGCAGCTAGAGGAGGAAAAGACGGCCCTGCTGGGCCGGCAGCGGCAGGTGGAGCAGGAGGCCGCCTTGGCGCTGGGCGAGCAGGGCCGGCTGGAGCAGCTGCGGCTGGAGCAGGAGGTGGAGCGGCAGGGCCTGGAGGGCTCCCTGCGGGCGGCGGAGCAGGCTCGGGAGGCGCTGGAGCAGCAGCTGCCCGCGCTGCGCCAGGAACGCAGTCAGCTGCAGGAGCAGCTGGCCCAGGTAGGCCGGGCCTGCGGCCGTGCCGGGGAGGGCCAGGTGGTCTCCCAGCCTCCTGGGGTCAGTCATGGGCCCCGGAGCCCGCTTCTGTCCTGGAGTCCTGTTAGCAGAGACCTTGGACAAGCTACTCAACCTCCCTGCCTCAGTGGCCCTGTCTGTGACATGGGGCTTGGAGGCCTTTTTTTTTTTTTTTTTTTTTTTAAGATTTTGCCTATTTATTTGAGAGGTAGAGCTATGGACAGAGAGAGGGAGAGACAGAAAGGTCTTCCATCTGCTGATTTACTCCCTAAACGGCCGTGAAGGCCAGAGCTGGGCTTATCCGATGCGAGGAGCCAGGAGCTTCCTCTGGGTCTCCCACGTGGGTGCAGGAGCCCAAGCACTTGGGCCATCTTCCACTGCTTTCCCAGGCCACAGCAGAGAGCTGGTTTGGAAGAGGAGCAGCCGCAACGCGAACAGGTGTCCATATGGGATGCCGGCACCGTAGGCAGAGGCTTAGCCTACTGTGCCACAGCACTGGCCTCCAAGGAGTTGTTGTTGTTGTTGTTGTTGTTTAATCACAAAAGGTTGTTCTGAAGGAAGTGTGAGAAAACCGGTGTGAGTGCCCAGCGAGTGCCGAGTGCGGATGAATTACGCGGTGATAGGTAGATGTTTTAGCACTGGAAGCTTAGGCTTTTGGGGACCCTGGTGCAGGAGCTGTCTAGTAGGGCTGCTTCCCAGAGGGGCCTCCACCCCGAGGCCTGCAGAGCGGCTCCCCTGGGGGCTCTTCACGCGTCCGGCTGCTCTGCAGGTCCTGTGGCACCCAGAGCTGAGTGAAGGCCCCTGTGCTTGCATGCACGGGGCTGGCAGGTGTAGGGAGCTGCCACTTGTCCAAGTGCATACAGCATGTGAGGGTAGGGCCAAGGCTGAACCCGGGCCTCCTGCCTGCCAGGCTGGGCTGGGTGAGGTGCTGTTGTGGGTGCTTGCCTGCTGAGCGGCTGGGGGATTCTGGGAGTGGTGCTCACATCCCTGGGGGGCACCAGGTCTCCCGGCAGCTGAGTGGACGGGAGCAGGAGCTGGAGCAGGCCCGGCAGGAGTCGCAGCGGCAGGTGGAGGCGCTGGAACGGGCAGCCCGGGAGAAGGAGGCGCTGGCCAAGGAGCGGGCCAGCCTGGCCGTGCAGCTGGCCGCAGCGGAGCGGGAAGGCCGGAGCCTGTCAGAGGAGGCCACCCGCCTGCGGTAAGGCCGGGGGCCGTGCCCCCTCCCTGGGGGGTCTGCCGAGGGCTGCACCTGCCCGCGGCCAGCCACGCCCTGGCTCTTGGCCTGCAGGGGCGTTGCTTCAGTTACTTAGGAGCCTGGCTTACCAACCCTGCGGCTCAGCCTTCCCCAGGGAGCGCGGGCCCAGCCAGACAGGTGGGCTGGCACTCGGCCCGCGGCTGGCCACGCCCTGAGACCCACAGTTTCCTGGGGCTGGGAGGCTGAGTCCCAGGGCCTCAGGGACTGTGTGTGCTGCAGCCTGGAGAAGGAAGCCCTGGAGAGCAGTCTGTTCGAGGTGCAGCGGCAGCTGGCCCAGCTCGAGGCCCGCCGAGAGCAGCTGGAGGCTGATGGGCAGGCCCTGCTGGTGGCCAAGGAGACCCTGACTGGTACGAGGGCCCAGGGGACTGGGGCAGTCTGGGGAGACTGCAGTCCTGTCCAGTTCTGGGGTTTCCCAGAGCTCGGAGCGCTGGCCTGGGAGCCTGGCTGACCGGGTTCCGGTCGGATGCCGCCGCTTAGATC